AGGGAAATTCCAATCTAGAGATAAGGATGACTGTATTTAGAAATATCTCTGGACAGCTAATTCGCACAAATTTCAACTCTTCCCACTTTTACCCTAGAAGCATTCCGGTCTTCTTAATAAAAGATCATTAGAGGAAAATTAACTAAAATTACCTTTTTAAACGATTTCATTGGATACGGAGACTTAACGAGGTAAAGGGTTTAACTCTGCTCGGTTTACGTATTTCTCACTTTCGCAATTTAATTTTGTTATTCACAATCTACGAGCCACGCGGGGTAATCCCTCATAAAGACGTAAAATCCGGTTCGAGAAAGCTGGATATACAAGTAAGGGTGGTAATACGTACGCTCTAGGAAAGTACAGTTTAGTAAAGACCATTCACCCTGTGAATAACGAGGACTGGATTACATATCGTCCTAACTAAACCATAACCGTCTCTCGGACTAAAAAATGAATGTTGTCATTTTGGAAATTTATTCGTGGGAATAAACGTACACGCGTGTATATATGTCATTATATTTTATAAATATACGACGGTAAATACCCTACACCGAACAAGATAGGCTATTATTCGATCAATAACTGTACCGTATACAAGCGAAATTTCAATACAAGTTACTTAAAGATTTGCCAAATGATCACTTATACGTCACGTAATTATTTAATAACGTATCGCGTAATGTCAGAATCGATACCATAAATATGGAATGCACGGGTATTGGTCGTCGGTATCCTGAACCCGAAGCTGACCTCTGACGTGTATCCATGTCCTAAAAGCGATACTACAAATTCCCATCGTAAAGGTCTTAGACCCGGGTCGATTAAAGTTAAAAATACGGGTAGGGGAGGAAACATGTATGGGCTATGTAAAGCGGAGAGAAGGTGACTTTCGCGAGAACCTATTCCGCATTACACGTACGTCCTACAAACGTTCCCCTACCGCGTACTCACAAATGGTAATTCAATGTCTAATATACGAAATAACGCCAGAAAACAAAGCAAGTCCAACGCTTCGGTAAGTCCTTTATTATCCAGGAGGATCCCCTTCGTTAATATCGTAACCTTAAGAGATAATTGCCCCTATCTTCGAATAATCCGCCAGACAGAAAATCTTGAAATCCGTCATCCGCGAGTCGTTGACAATGGCCACCACCCAAGGGCTTCGAAATACACGTGGGTCGTTTTCCCATGGGCCGGGTAATCGCGAGACATCGCGCCGGGGTTTCCTCCAGGGCGTCAGGTTTTGACGAAGCGAGGGTTCCCTCTCGGATCCGGATATAAGGAGCGGCTCGTCGGCCCCTCGCGGGCGACACCCCCGGCGCACTCTCTTTGGGCACCAACGAGGGCCTCGTCGCTCTCCCTCGCACTCCGCCTAGGTCCGAGTCGTGTGTGGGTACCCGCCTCCCCGACGGCGGGCCTGGGCTGGCACTCGGTCTCGTCGGCTCGTTCCTAACCCTAGAAATAATTCCGAGCGCAGTCGAGTCGAGGCTCGGCGAGTCTCGGCGAGTCTCGGCCGCGATGCGGAGAGACGCCCTCGCCGGGCTCCGCAACGGACCCGGCGGAGGTGACGCCGACGTCACGGACGGGGCGTGTATCCCCACCACGGCATCCCTTCTCGTGGGGTCGTTGATCCCCCTAAGGACAATGACCTTGCGTCTGTGGCAACCGACCGAACGGTTCTCCGTTCCCGGATTCCTCGATTACCAATTGCTCCCTCTCGCTCCCTCCCTCCCTGGAACTCCCCTCGAACTCCCCTCGACGTTTCCTGGACACTTTCTCCGCGGTCGTCCGACCCCGCGGGGAGCCGACGAGATCCTTCCTCGGCCCGTCCTCTGACCCTCTTCCAAACATCACGAAAAACTCCCAAACATTACGGCGCTTCGGATACGGGTTAGGGCTCGGCATTCTACCGACAAAGTGGTCGGACGGCCGTCCGGCGACGTTTTCACGACTAAACGGGACTGCCTCGAGGATTATCCGGAACTTTTTTTGCGCCGCCGTAGTTTACGCCGAATAACGCAACGCTCGGTAACCGTTTCCCGGTCAACGGCGCTCTCGGTCCTCGGGTATACGAGGAAGAGCCAAATAATTATTGCCCTTTGGTTTTGTCCCTTGTACCCGTTTCTCGCTGGGTGATGTACCTCGTCCCGCTTGTACCGATTACTCCGGAAATTTTCGCCATGGCTTCGAGGACTCTTCGAGTAGTTATTCACTCCGAGCACCCGAAATTCTCCCGAATTCCATTAACCCTTTCGTTACCTTGGACGAGATATCTCGCGACCCGATACTGGCCGATCAACGCTTTTGACGAGATATCTCGCGACCCGGTACTAGCCGATCAACGCTTTTGACGAGATATCTCGC